CACAGGCTCGCCTCGCGCTGGTGGCTCGGGGGTCTGCGGGCAGGACTGCAGGCGGGGCGGACTCCTTGCCCAAGCAGAGCAGTTGGCCCATGAGCCCACGCCCCTTGACACTTTGTCATCGCGTTCCCCCAACGGGCGGGGACCCCAGTACCAGGCCGAGTGCTATCTCCAGAGTTGGGAAGGAAGTGCCCCACGCGCTGACCAAAGGTGTCTTTTCTTCCTTCCTTCCTTCCTTCCTTTTTCTTTCTCTCTCCCTCTCTCTTTCCTTCTTTCTTTTAAAGATGTGGGGTACAATTGATGGTTAGGTACATAAGTGGTCATCATACAGGTAAAGTGTGGGTACCCTTATTGATGTTATGTGCCACCTCCTCCCCTGGCAGTGTCCCACTACTGCCAATCCCTTTCTTACTGTATGATGATAACTGTTCAGGATCCGCTTATGAGTGAGTACATGTGGTACTCAGATCTTTGTTTCTGTGATAAATTATATACCCTAATTCCATCCAAGTTGCTGCGAAGTTCATGATTTTGTGCTTTCAAAGTATCTGCACTCTGATCATATATTTCGTTTACTTCATTTTTCTAAATAAAAAGCCCTCTTGTCCTGCGTAGAAAACGAATACGCGCTTACTGCAAACAAGCACACAGAAAGACTCAAGAGACAGAACACCTGTTATCCAACCCCGTGCTCAAAAATAAAGCCGCTGCGCGCGCCCTTGCAAACGCCGCAGCTCGCACGCAGGAAAGCGGCCTGTCTCGCCTGTCGCCCTCGGGCACCATCGGACACGGGCAGCCCTTCCCCAGCCGGCTCCTCGGGTCGGGCGGGTTGTGCGCAAACCGGGCCCAGACCTCCCACGCCCAAAGGCGCCTTCGCGCGCTGGCCTCTGCTGGAGGCCCGCCGGGAGGCCGAGCCTCGCAGGGCTGGTGTAGGCGAGGAAGCCAGCGTGCGCGCGCGAGTGTTCTCACGCACGGGAAGAAAGCGATACGCGTAAGAGCTCCCCAAAAGCATGACTGCCGGAGGGGAAAGAAGCAGAGGGAGGGGAAAGAGGAACGAGAGAAAGGAGGCAGAAAAGAAGGGAAGAAGAAGAAACGAAAGTGTTTAGAAAGGAGGCCGGCAGGGAGGGAAGGAGCGCGGAGCAGCCGCGCAGGGAGGAGGCGCCCAGCACTCGCGGGCTCCCCGCGGAGAGGCGGGGGG